AGATTACTGTAAACTATAATACAATAAATTGATAGCCAATGCGTTACTAAAAATATCTGAAAATATAGATTAAATATTCCTCTGGAGTTGAAGTTAACTTCGGCAATGAGTTGACACCGACTCAAGTTAAGGATCAGCCGGTGGTGGACTGGCCGGCAGACAACAACTCCTACTACACACTATTGATGACAGATCCCGACGTTCCCAGTCGTACTGACCCTAAGTTTGGTGAAGGCAAACATTGGATTGTCATCAATATTCCCGGCGCTGATGTCAGTAAAGGGCAGACATTGGTGGAGTACATGGGCTCCGGGCCACCAAAGGGAACAGGATTTCATAGATATATATTCGTTGTATACAAACAGACGGATATTATTAATACTAATGAGAAGGTTATATCGAAACTGACAGTCGAGGGGCGAATGCAGTGGAAACTCAAAGATTTTGCCAAACAATATAATTTAGGCCTACCAATAGCTGCCAATTTTTACCAAGCTCAGTTTGATGAATGGGTGCCTGTTTTTATGAAACAGTTAGGTTTTGATCCTGATTCTATGAAATAAAAATTTCAAAGTTATATAGAGTTTACGATTTATAATAATTGTCAAAATTAATTAAAAGATTAATACATTTTAATAATGCAAGATTACTTGAATTTAATAATAAAATTATTTGTTTTTAATTTTATGATTTTATAAATAAATAATATTTCATAAGGGACATTAATTGATATACAATATAGTGTAATATTGTTATTTAAAAATAAAACTTTTAATTATAAATACTTGAATGTTATTCTAAATATTGATGTGTTTATACAAGCATTTAAAGTAGCAATAATTTTGTGATATTTAAACAATTTATAATTTCTTATAAAACAATTAATATGAGTTCACATTAAGTACAAAATGGAGACGCACCTAGGTTATTGGTACTCAAACATTGACTTACAGTAATTAAATGAATGATAAATATATTGCATTATTAAATACCGGTATTAATAATAAATGAAGACATGTGCAGATATGGTATCCTTGAAGTCAAGTTATAAAAGTGATTATTTGAAAACCAAATTGTACTCAAAGTTCTAACACATATAAATACACTCAACACTTCATTTAATAATATGACAACATTTAATTTATACACAAAACAGGAATTTTGTGAACATTTCATATTAAATTAATATTTGTGTTTTCATTCAAAACAAAATTGAATTTTTTATTTGAATTTAAAATTTAAAACTGAATTTATTGGACACTATATAAACCACAAACTGATTTGGCATTCATTCCAGAGTGAGTTCATTTAAAAGATATTTTTTAATAACAAAAGTATTTTTATTAGTAAAACAACTTTTGTTTTAAACGTTTTGATAGTGTTTTTCATAAATACTTAAATTTTAATTAAATACTCGATACTATACAAAATGATTTGTAAAACAATGTATAAATTAGTAGTGATTTTCATAGCAATCACTTTTGTTAACAGTTTTAGTGCTCAAGAAGTGAAAGGAAGAGCGAAGAGTAGAGTCAAGAATTTTATCCGCAGAAGAATGTCTCCCTTAAGACGCGATGGAGTGGTTCCCGATGTCATCGATTCCGTGCCAAAGGATAAGATTACGGTTGGAATGAGTTATTGAAAAAGTTTTATTATAAATATCACTAAATTAAACAAATATCTAATTTCAGGTCAAGTATTCCTCCGGAGTTGAGGTAAACTTTGGCAATGAGTTGACACCGACTCAAGTGAAGGATAAACCAGTGGTGGACTGGCCGGCAGACAGGAACTCCTACTATACACTTGTTATGTCGGATCCCGACGCTCCCAATCGCAAGGAACCCATCTATGGTCAGGTGAAGCACTGGCTGGTCATCAATATTCCGGGCAATGATGTGAGCAAAGGTCAAGTGTTGGCCGACTATATAGGGTCCGGTCCCCCACAGGACACCGGTCTTCACAGATATGTATTTCTTGTGTACAAACAGTCGGGTATCATCAATACGACTGAGAAGACTGTGTCCAACCGTTCCCGTGAGGGCCGACTGCAGTGGAAAGTCAGGGATTTTGCTAAACAACACAATTTGGGTGAACCCATTGCCGCCAACTTTTATCAAGCTCAATTCGATGATTGGGTGCCAATATTCAGACAACAATTTACTGAATAATTTATAAAAGAAAAAGAAATAAATATTTGCAAATAAATTATTATACATTTGAAATATAATATTATTTTATATGCTAACCTATGTTTGTGCATGTTCATGAATTATAAATCTAACCGGATGAATTTATAAGTTTAATTATTTCTAAAGTTTTTTTTATGTTTAAAACACATTTTGTGTTTAATTTTTTGAAAACATTTTAGTTTTATTAACAGTATTTAAAAAGTTTACATTTTTGATGATAAGTTATCATTGATAACTATATAGTGAACTCGTAGTCCACTACTCAATGCAATCTCTAATAGTTTTAAATACAATAGCTTTTATAGTAAATAGTAAATATGGGTCAATGCTTAAGACAATGTTTAAGTGAATTTGTGGTTTATGTCATTTTAGTTGGAGTCGGTGACCAAACACTGTCATCGTTTTAATCAATGACATGACTTTAATTCAAAATAATAACATATTTCAGTAATACATAATATTGATATAATAAAAAGCTGTGAATACATTTATATTGAATTGCATAACGGCGATATATTAAGCAATAATAAATACAACAAGATATAAATGTAATATAATGTCACATCTAATATGTGTTCAATAGTAGTCCCGTTGTGTGCAGTGATAATGCTTTCCGTGTCTGAACTCAATCCTCTTCACCACAACATTCCCCTCAATCCTCAACTGTTTGGCCCGATCTGAACACATCCGGTGCTGAAACACAATACTCTTGCCATTTGTGATCACTT